TGTTATCTGTAAAAGGAGAATCAGCATTAACAAATGTACCAGAAACTGAACCTGAGTCTGGACAGAAGAAATTCTGTTAAAAAGCTTCAACAGACAAAACCAATAGTTACAAATAAAAGAGTACAAATAAAGGAAAATAAACAATTCCCCTACCCTCTCCAATGAAGTTTGGCTCAGAAGTATCTGCACCATTTAAGTCAGAAACATATCCTGTCAAATCTACTACAACATTAAAATTATCGATTACAGTATCTTTCACAATTTCAGGGATCATAAGCTCAGCTTCAGGAGCCAAAAGATCCTCAGTTATCAAGATTTCTTCAGTGAAAGAATCTTCAAACTTTCCTCTTGTTTTCTTTGATTTGCCCTTCTGTTTTTGAGCAACTTTTCCTCTTACAGTTGTTGCTGCAACTCTCTCAATTTTTTCAGTATTTCGTGTAGATCGTCTAAGAGGCCTTTCAACGGAGTTACCATCAACCTTAACAGCTTGTTCTTGAAGAAAAGCATCCCTTCTTCGCTTTTTACTTTCTTCTTTACCTTTAGCATTGGCTACTTTGTCAGTTTGCTCCCTAGTGTATATAACTTCAGGTTTAGCAGCATTTCTTTTAGACCTCCTTAGATTATCGTCAAATGGATAACTTTCCTTCATCATTCCAGAAACACTGTCAACCTCAGAAACTTCCTTTACCTCAACAGCTACAATGCTTCTCAATCTTCCTTGTACAGCCTTTTCAATTTTTCTCACATCCTCCTTTACCAGTTTGTGGCATTCCATCTTGGCAACATGTCTCCTTGACCTCCGCAACACCTTTTCAGCTTGAATGGCCTCAGGTTCTTCCTCGGTTGCTTTAGTTCTAACAATATCCTTCCTACGCATGTCCTTCACCTGTCTTTCCGTTTTCCTAGAACCCTTCTCCACATCCTCATATGCCCTCATTTTGTTATCTTTTAGCTCTATATTCCTCAAAGATCTCTTTCTCACCAGTAAGTCCTCTTCATTCTGCTGAGACCCCTTCTCCACTAGGGCAATTTTCTTCTTCTCCACATCGATGACTCTATTCCTCAAAGATCTCTTCCCTACCACTACATGCTCTTCGTTACTAAAATCAACTAAAGGTACATTATCAGCAGTAGCAGAAGGCAATTCACCCTTCAAAGCATCAGCTTTCATCCCCTTTTTACCTCCCTTGCTCTCAACCTCCCGATCCTCCATGAATTTAACCTTTCTAGACCTTGTAACCCTTCCAGCACCTTCATCCATCGGAGCATCGCTACTCATACCTACAACACCACTAGCAGACGGTAATTTATCCTTTAAAACATTATCTTCTACCCCCATTTTCCCTCCCTTTCTCTTTACACAGCTGCCTTCTATCACTTTCCCCCTTCTAGATCTTCTGCCCCTTCCAACTCCCTCATCCACCAAAATAACAGGACTATCATTTTCCACAACCTCACCACCCTTACTGTGATTCATAACAGATTTTCGCCTTCCTCGAACCCTTGTCTCCATACACTTAACTGCTGACTTCTCAAACTCAATCATCTCATTTTGTGGACTAAACCTAACTTTTTTGGCTGGCCTATTTTCGAAATCAGATTCATTTTCGCTCACATTTTCTTCTAAACCCTTCAAACACGACCTTAGCCCTCGAGTTAAGGGCTGTTGATTGCCCTGCGCATATATATATATATATATTTGATTAATTTCCGAAGTAAAAAACAATGAACCAACACCATTTCCCACAAAAAAAATAAAAAGCTAAACCATTTCCTACTCAATGGGTACATTTATTTTTCAACAATCAGTTAAATCTTTTGCACTGCACATCACCAGACAGACATTTCAGACAACAAAAAGATAAACTTTTTCCTACTATTATGCCAAAAAAAAAATGAAAATGAAAAGGGTTACCCTTAAAAGGGCAGTAAGTTTGATGGCCATCTCCAAATTGGCTAAATTTGCAGGAATTTTGTGCTTCTTGCATAATTCTTGCAGTTCCCTTCTTTTCAAGTTGTGAAAATCCATCCCTGCAAGACCACGCAACAAGAAAAACCAGTAATCAACGATAAAATATTTGCAAGAAAATCACAAATGACATTTTCAGTAAGCTATACCTGACAAAACTTCACATCCAGTTCTCGGGTTACGGATAAAAATACATACTTTCTTGATGCAGGAAGAAAATTGAATAGTTTTTTGGGTGTCTGTAGTTTAAATAGGCAGGGGAACGTTTGAAATTTGAACCAAACAGGCAGCGTTCGCTTTTTAAATTTTTCATGGGAAGTTTTTTTTTTAACTTCGCGGATGCGGAAATGTGCGTACTCGGCACTCTCAAGCCCGATGTTGACACATGTCCCAAAGACTCGCAGATGGGTCGAGTGAAGTTGAACCCTGAAACGGCGCGTGGATTTGGAGAAGTGAAATTGGATAATAAAGATAGTCCTTTGACTGGTTGATCACGTGAGAGAATGTGAGGAGCTTATGGGGAAAAAGAAACCAAAGCGTTATCTTTGAAGTTTAATTAGTTCTTTAATTCAATTACTACAACTAATAAATAAGCTGATCTTGAGTTATTGGCCCTATTACAATATGAATTATTAATTGTTTTCAACTAAATAGAATAGTAGAATTAATTTCTTTGCTTTATTGGTGGGATTTAGTTATAGGGCATGGATGATTCCAAAGGTATTGGAAACATATACAGAAACTGTTCATTTATGTGCGCCTGATTCTTGGAAGAAGAAGAAAGTCCAAAACTTGCAAAGGCATACCCATTCACTGAAGCTTCAATGCGATACATATATTCAACAAACTTTTCTCTGCTATGTACAGAAAATTAAAGATTACATCAAGACCTTCAACATTGTCATGAAGATTCATCCTAAAATCGCGGCATAATTCCAGGGCATCTCAAGATCTTCAGCATTTATATCTGCATTCTTCTTGTAGAGAAGATGTATAGACGATAGGTTACTGCAGCAGCTTCAAGCCTTGAAACTATCATTTGCAAAAGGTCCAGCACGAGTGAGTTTTACAATTCCAGCAAAGGAAGTCGCATCAAAAGGAACTTTCAACCAGATTATTGAACTCCTTTTTTAACTGAAAAAATGCCAGAAGCTCCCTCAAGAGAAGCTCCCCAAAGCCCTGCTCTAAGCAGCACTAACACATTAACAAGAAAAATTGGTGCCATTGTAGAAAAACTTCGTGAAAGCAAATGCTGTCACTGCCACTCAGTTGACAAGAGAAAGGTAAGTAAGATAGGAAATCATACCAAAGTTAGACAGTTAGCCAACATCGAGCTATATACTTAGTGCACATCTACCACATAAATCAACCATATTATTGTTTTCTCAACTCCAAGTGAAAGACACTAGTAAACAACACCAATATGTTATCATACATGAAGAATGTGAGATCAAGCTGATGGAGGCAGAGAAAATGCTTTTTGACATTAGTAGCCATAAAAATTCACACTAAACTACCTGACAACAATTAGTACTGCACATTTTCACAACCTCTACTGAAAGATTTAACAATAGCTTCTCCTCATCACATGTCGATAAACCTGGCCTACATAGTGAAGCTAAAACCAGGCCTGCATTGCACAGCAACTCAATAGACCATCACCAGTCTCTTACTGAAAGAACAAGAGTAATATATGCAAAACATCTTTCAAGGTTTAACAGATGGTTCAAATAACTAAGATACATATAAAAGAATGGCATTGTAGCAAGCGGAAGGTATGCAGAAAAATAAGCCTCATAAGATCTACCCAAATTGTAGCATTACACCTACAGCATATTAGACGATTCATGAGCATTCATCGCACAGATTTTCCTGAAAAGCAAAGTCTGCAGAAATTGACACGAAAATCATACTTGTAGACCTATATATTAGCAATAATTATTTTTTCTTCTGTCTTCAATGGTGTCCAATGATAAGGGTGAGGCAGTTAATTAACATCCAGCCCAGTGAAGATTCAAGCCTGCAAAATCATTTCTTGAATACAAATTTACTTCAGAAATCTTGAAACCATAGTCAAAACATCCAATCGCAGTGAAAAAAAAAACACGAGTACACACAGAGAGACCCACAAAAATGAGAAAATAGTGCAAAAAATACAAAAAGGAGTCAGAAATCTCGTGTGGAAAGTGCCGCTCACTGCACCACAAGCAATATGGTGCTGCGTTTGCACATTTCAGAGATTATCATCATCCATTTCCTTGCATATCTTAATTTTTCAACAACCAGAAAAAAAAGGAATTTGTCCCAAAAAAGTATTGCCCATTTTTTCCCATATACTGAGGGAAACCAAAGATTAATTGCTAAATCAGAGCAGGTTATAGGAGAAATCAAGAGGATCTGCAAGAGGGTTTTGCAGGATACCCTTTGAGAAGAAAAGGGTTCTCTCCATCCGGGTCGTGGGAGGGGTTTAATAGGAGAAGGCCTTCATCAGAGTTGCGGCGTGGCGTGGCGTGGCGGCTATAGAGGCAATGCCATCAGAGGAAAACGTATTAAACCCTTCTTTTTAATTTAGGTAAATTGCAGTTACCCCCTCTAAAGTTTGACTAATTGGAGATACTTCCTGTATTTGTTTATGTGGTGTTTTATCATCTTTTGAGCTTTGTTTGAGCCTTCTTCTGATTGATTCATCCTGTACATCCTTCCATTACAAAAGAAATTGCAAAAGATCATTGTACTAGTTTTATGAAGTAATTGGTGCTAGATGATGCCTTTAGCTTTTTTTTAATGGTATTTTTGTTGGGATTAGTGGGTAATCTTGGTTTGCCAAATTCATTAAAAGATCTAACGTAACATCTAAACTTGTTAGAAATAAGAAAAATGAAGCTATTACGGAGAAAATTTAAGTACTAATATAATGGAATGTCAAGAAAGAAGGTTAGTGCAAAATATCAATGTAATTCAACCAAATTGCTATTACTCTTTTTCGGATAATCCCAATTACCAGAACCAATAGGAAATGCAGGACCAACACCATCCATAATGTCTCCCCATATGGTGCTGATACAAGTTATAAAATGCAGAAGTACTCAAGAATCTAACGGTTCACTTAGCGTAACAAGTGACAGGCTCTTGGAAGCTGATTTTTTTCTTGATAGGTGTCCAGAAACTTGTTGCATCGTCGGCCGAAACTGGGGACTTGGATGAACACATGCAATTGCTAGTTTTGCAGCTAGTACCACATCTTCAGCCTCTTGTAGGGTAGGTGGAGGAATTCTTTGTCCAAGACGTCTTTCAGCATTATGTCAAGAGATTGTGGCTTTGGCATTGATGATGGTGTTGATAATAAAATGGAAATTAGGTCGCTTGGATGCTTCCCTACAATCACTTCAAGGGCTAGAACTCCAAAACTATATACATCACACTTGTCAGTGACTTCCATTGTGTAAGCAAGTTCTACAAATTACCAAGGAAAAGCGAAAACAAATAAAGACATTAAACAAAGAGGAGAAAGATGAACAAACTTAAACGATATGCTAAATGGAGGCAAATCAAATCGACTTTGGGCTGAAAATAAATATATACAACTTAGCTACGTTGTACTTTCATGTTAAGAGCGCTGACTGATTTTTTGATGTCTCCTATGCCAAATCTATACAAATTGCATTAACTTTTGAGTTGTGAACTAATCTTTTTGTTGCCTATGTTAAGTATACTATTAGTTGCGCAGGTTACCAATAATTCTTCAATAGTTTTAGCTAAGGTGTGGACTGATGCAGAGTAAGCTTATAGAAAGAATAATGAAATGGCCAACTTGATTATCAAGCACTATTGTGGACTCAGAACCTTGTCAGAAAGTTTGGATCGAAATTCATATTCATGAACTGTTGTAGCACTTCTTTAGGGTTCAATCCAGACAAAAATACAAAAACTGATAAGTTTGAGGTGATTGAGCAGTACAATGAACTTACCTGGAGCTGCATAACCATAGGTTCCAGCAAATGTTGTCCAATTAGATGAGTCAGGTTTCAAGAACCTTGCGGAGCCAAAATCAGAGATGTGAGCCACGTTTTCAGTGTCTAACAACACATTCTTGCTTGATATGTCTCGATGGATTATGGGAGGTGAGCAGTCATGATGCATATAGAACAGTGCATTTGCTACATCTGTAAGAATTCTAATCCTTGTGATCCATTTCAAATTCATAGCCTTTTCATCGTTACTGAGTCTGTCTAATAGGCTTCCTCCTTCCAAGAATTCGTACACCAAGAATGAATGCAGTGCATGTGAACAGAATCCATAAAGCTTCACAATACTGCGATGCCTTATTTCCGTTAATGCAAGTATTTCATTCCTAAAACCTTCTGGACTGCTCAATCCAATATTTTCTTGTGTATGGAGCTTTTTCACGGCAACAATTTGACCATTTGGCATTTCGGCCCCGAAAACACTTGCATTTCCTCCTACTCCAATACAGTAGTGGGCACTGAAGTCCTCTGTTGCTTTGACGATGTCTTTATAGACCATCTTTCCATCAAAGCTCCATATTGCAAACGAATCTTTATTTCGGTCACAGCCGGACTCAGTTCTTGCTTTACTGCTCTTACGTGTTAGTGCAACAAAAAGAAGCAAAACACAGAAAAGCATGGTTCCCAGCGTCGGAAATACAATCAACATTGTCTTTGCTTTGCTGCTGCTTTTGTTGACCTGATTACTTCCTGATCGAGGGCAAGCTTTCAAGCCAGCAACATCGCCACACAAATCTTTGTTATTCCTCAAGGCATCAAATGGGGCTTTCCGAAATGCTGCAATGTTGGGAAGAGGACCCTCCAGTTGGTTGTATGATATATTAACCAAAACCAAGCTCAAACATTGGCTAAAGCTTGAAGGTACCGAACCTGACAGCTCATTATGTGAGAAATTCATTATCTGAAAGCTCTTTAGTTCTCCCAACTGCTGTGGTAGCTCACCAATCAGCATGTTGTGGCTGAGATCGACAGTTTCCAGAGAATTCATTTCTCCAATCTGGAAAGGAATTTTTCCAGTAAGTGCATTTTGGCTCAGGTTCGAGTCCAATAGCTCTTTGCACTCTCCTATTTCCAGGGGAATTGGACCACTAAGGTTATTCTCGGCCAAATTAAGATGTAGAAGTTTAGACAACTTGCCAATTGTTGATGGAATATCCCCTGAAAGTTTGTTGTTATTCAACCTTAGGTCCAACAGTGAAATGAACTTGTCAAAAATTTGGGGTATTCTCCCAGTTAATCGATTTGAGGAGAGATCTAGCACTTCCAATTGAGATGCCCCTCCTATCTCATCTGGTATCTTCCCTGAAAGATTGTTGTTGGAGGCCTTGAAGCCAGTCAAGTTCCGACAATGACCCCATGTTACAGACAGTTCCCCATAGAAACTATTATCACTCAAGTCAATGTAATTTAAATTCGAATACATGCCAAAATTTTGTGATATGTTTTCAGAAAATTCGTTGCTTCTAAGATCAATTCTGTATAGCCTAGTACAATTTTTCAGGCTACTCAGGATTTTGCCTGTAAAATTATTGTCGTAAAGGCTCAAGTATTTCAATCGTCCCAAATTGCCAATGGAGCTGGGAATATTACCCTCTAGATTGTTAGCACCTAATTGAAGATCATACATGGAGTGTAGCTTGCCAATTTCTTCAGGTATGAGTCCTGATAATTGGTTTACACGAAGAATTAGGTCAATTAAGTTGCTCAAATTCCCTATAGATGCTGGGATTTGACCAGTTAGATGGTTGTCGGCCAACTCAAGATCCCGAAGAGACCTTACCATGCCAACTTCACCAGGGATTGGACCAGATAATTGATTGCTGTAGAGATACAAATACTGGAGATTTGTCAGGTTTGAAAAAATGGTGGAAGGAATACATCCTGAAAGCCCATTATTAGGCAGGGCAAGAAAGTAGAGATGAGTGAGGTTTCCAATGAAGCTGGGAATGATTCCTGTGATATAGTTGAATCCCAAGTCAAATGTAACAAGCTTCCTTAGTAATCCAATTTGTTGGGGAATCGAACCTGTGATGTTATTATGGTACAGGCTGAAATACCAAACATTTGTTAGTAAACCTATTTCTGGTGGAATCGGTCCTGAAAGGAAGTTGAGAGCCAGATCAAGATAGTGGAGCTTAGAAAGGTTACCGATATTTGAGGGAATGGTGCCGTATAAAGAGTTATTAAACATGTCAAGGTAAACTACATGGTTCAAGGATGAGAAATCAAGATCATGCAATCTACCTCTTAAACCAAAATCACTGAGCTTAACATAGCCAACTCTTCCAGCCTTATTGCAGCGAATGCCGATCCAAGTATTACAAGGGTTGCTTCCATTCGAATCCCAGCTTGAGAGGAGTGATTGGCTGTTTACATCAAGGCTGGCTTTCCACTTCAGCAAAGCAACAACTTCATTTTCATGGGCAACTTCTCTTGCTGTTGCATTTGGTCTTAGAGTGGTGAAATGCAAAGGTGCAAGTTTTGGAAAGAATGGGGTTAAAAGTAGGCCTAGAAACATAAATTGGGGGCAGAAATGCTTATCCATTCAGGACTTTGGTATACTTCAGAATTCAGATCCTCATAAAACATGCAACTTAAGGCTTCCAGTTATCAGTTGAACTACTCTAAAATGGTATTTATAGATACTTAAACAACGTCAAACAAGTGATTGGAGCACTGTACTATTTCCTTTTCTAGAAATGGTTAGTCTCAGTGTGTAATCAAGACTTCATTTCTTGTACTTTTAGGCCGCTCAATGGACAGTGTGTTTATTGAAGCCCTTTTTGGGGTACGCTGCTTTTTATCTCAAATAGTTTTGCCTTCGTTATTATAGGTCAAAGAGCTATAACTGCACCAACATTAGGTAAATCGCGAATTTTTCAAAACCCAACATCAGAACAGATAGAATTGTAGTAGTAACAAATTAAGGGCCTTAGAAAGGCACCCGTGAATCATGATTCCACTTCCAATTAGTGCAGCCGCCACGTTCAAATGACCAAAAAACTAGTGCACTGCAATTATCCTTTGCCCCTCGCCTGTCTTGATATTCTCTGTTGGAGGAAACTTCCAAGCATGCAGTTTTGCTTTCAACCTTAGATCAATGATCATTGTGCATTAACTTCATTCATTTTTGTTCATGATTAGGCAGCTTGATAATAGACGGCAACGGTGTGTAGTGGTCTTTAAATTGAACATTGTCTTGGTTGGTAGAGAGTAATATACAGTAGAGTTTAAGCTTCAACCTGTTCCTCATTCTGTTTTCATCAACTCATGTGTTATTGAAGTATCAACAAATGAGTAGTTCACATTACAATCCAGTTTGTTCGTCTCAAGCACACTAGACTTTCTGATTCAAGACTCTAACTCATTTGCTAACAACTTTAGTTAGGTTCATGAAGTTCAAGTCTTTTATTTGATCGTAAAACTTATTCTTCCTGTCGAAATTTTTTCTTGTAAGATTTGAAATCTCTCTTGAAATTGTTGACTAACGTTAATTTGATTTTGACCGTTGAAAATTTTAAAAAACCAAATTTGTTCTGATTGAAATATTATAGACCAATTTATTAACACGTAGGCCAAACATTTGGGACCAAAAATTGCATTTCTGTCTTAAATAAATTACCAGAAATAGGATAGGGCATTACAACAACAACAAAAAGACAAAATGAAAGAAAATCCTACCAACTGAACTTCCTAAATTATTTTCTAGACTCCTTCAATCAATGGGTACATACGTGCTCCAAATTTCTTCTTCACTTCCATTCATTCCCAAACACGCCCTTATTTCCAGACGGTTTCTACCCTTCTCGCTCCCAGAAAATCGCCATTTCTCAATCAAACTGGAGTCCCATAACAGTAAAATAACACACTCAGCTCGGAAAAACGACGTCGGGTTCGACACCGCAGCATATGAGGCTGACCGTCTTAGCCGTGACGCCGAAGCCCGAAAAGCCATGGCTGAAACCTCCCAGAAAGAAACTCAAGATGAATCCGACCCGAAAGCTTGGAAATGGGTGATCCGAAATCGGGTCTGGGATTCAATGGAGGCCCAAAACATAGCCCAGTTCCCTAGACCCGTCCATCATCGGATACCCAACTTCGTTGGAGCCAACATTGCTGCTAATAAAGTAGAAGCTTCTACTCATGTGCTAGTAAAGCTGACATTTTTATTTTTCCTTTTATTTATTTTTTGCGCAATTTGTATTAATTGATTAATGTAAATATATTCGTTGATTATTTTTAGCAATAATGGGAAAAGGGTTGCTGCTAAAAGAGCAAATTTTTGGATTTTTATTTTTTGCTCCTTTTTTTTGGGGGTTGATGATGAAGGATTTATTATTTTATTTGGTTCTAAGAATAATTTGGAAATGGGATTATGACAGTTAAGTGAATTGGAGGAGTTTAAAATGGCAAAATGCGTGAAAGTGAATCCAGATACACCTCAGAAGCAAGTCAGGTTTCTCACTCTTAATGGTTAGTTTTATCATTTTTTGTGTTTACTCGATAATGGTATTTATCTGGAGCAAATTTCTTGTTTAATTTATTATGGGTTCCAGTGCTCACTTTTTCAATTAAGTACCCAAGACTATTCTTGAAATGCATTGCATTATATTCATCTATGTATATGATTTCTAGTTTGGGATAAATAAAAGTTTAATGAACTATGTATACCTCAAAGAAATATACTGCAGCTGAAGTTATTTCGTTAACTAACTTCAAAAGCTTATTTTTTGCTAAATATCCTCGGATTAACCTGAAAGCCTGAAATGCAAGAAAGATGCTGTTTTGCTTGTCGAGTTGATTTTCAGCTGAATCTCAAGTTTTTGAAAAATTTTAATTCCAGTGTGGTCAAAATTCAGTCTAGCACTCGACTAAAATTTGTACTAGAGCTTGGCTAGACTCTGTAGATTTTGCATGCATATGTGTTGAGTGTCATGAAAAACCAGAATAGAATCAATAACTGTTGGAACTAATTTCGCCAAATTTTTTTTTTCAAACAAACATTTGCATCTCAGCTGGAAAGAAGCTGCTGACTCCTCAGCCCCGTCTAAGGACTGGTTTTTTCTCCATACTTGAATCTCAAATGTTAAGCTCTAGCACCATCAAAGAGGCATGCACTTCGGTTGGTGTTGCCAAATATGGAAGGGCTATCGGATTGGACGAGAAGATTAAGGTGGATCTAATTGTAATTGGCTCTGTTGCTGTTGACCCAAAGACAGGTGCACGCCTTGGCAAGGGTGAGGTATAAGAATTTGATAGTTTGACTGTCGTTGTTTATGTTGCTAAGCAAAGTCTGGGTTAGAGGGCCAACCTTGAGAAGATTGAACTCTACAAAGTATCAATAGTATATCGCCTGCAAGAGTGTAGAACCTGTATAATTAGTTATGCTGCTCTTTTAAGTTAATTTGAAGATAATTTGGTAAACTAATTCTTTTACTTAGCAAAATAAACTTATTCCTACTTTTAAAGAGATTATGCATCTCAAAATTTTCGAGGGTTTAGCTTCTGCTTTCTATCATGAAGTCTTACACTAGTAGTAATAGCTTGTCAGGACCGAATCGGTGATTGGCTGTATGATGACATAATCGTTGGTTCGGGCATCAAATTAGATACATGTTTTGATTTTCTGTATTGTAGTAAATTATGGTTGTAGTTTAATTGATTTGCATGGCTTGTCTTACAGAGTCCGATATTATCATTTTTTATTGCGGTTGCCTTTTTTGAATTGTTTTTGTTTGGGTCCCATCACTGAACTTATTGTGTTGCTTTGTGTTAATTTGTCTAAGTTTATGCTCTTACTTCACACAAAGAAACACTTGTAAATTCTATCATTTTGGGACATCTGCCCAGTTTAGTGGTCATTCTCTAAGCACATGAAACTTTTGGACATAATTGGCACTGATAGATATTGGGAAATCCTGAGATTTCATAGGCAACATGATGAAACTTTTGGACATAATTGGCATTGATTGATACTCAGGAATCCTGGGATTCCATAATTGGCAACATGATTGTGATTTCTCGAAGTATTTTCTTAAAACTTCCATGTTTTTATGCAAGGACAAAGGTGATGTTTCTAAGCAAGGATTTTGGTGCAGGGTTTTGCTGAACTTGAATACGGTATGCTGCGTTACATGGGAGCAATTGATGACTCAACTCCAATTGTTACATCTGGTAACCATCCTCCTATCCCCACTATGAACATCCATTTTCTTTATCAGGAAGTTCACAAGTCACAACTCACTGCTTGCAATAAATATTCTTCTGTGATGCAAACCACATTACAAAGTTGGCTTATAAACATAGAGGATTGAGTGTGAACTTGATGTACTGCCACTTATTCTTTCAGAGCTCATGGGTTTACCACATGCAATTGCAGTTATTGCTACTAATCATTCTACATGCACATTTTTCTTAGACCTCCTAGGGTGTAGAATCTTGTTCATTGGGCTCCGGGATCTCTCTCTCTCTCTCTCTTACATAGTGTGGAGGCAGTGCCTAGTGCATTGGATTGTCCCTCTGTCTGACCCTTGTTTTATGTATTTATTTACTGTCTTATTTGATTTTCTTGTCTCGTCAGGAAAGAGAATTCAAATTATATATGCCACTTAAATCTTTTTTGAAGATCAAGTTGTTGAGATTGAGTTATCATGACAGATAATCAATCAATTGGCCAATTGTCGCTGTTTGTGTTTTGTGCGAGGATATAATCATTGCTTTACTTTGTACTGCAATTTGAATCATTTTTTCTGTTTGATACTATGTTGATGAATGGACCAATTGCAGTCCATGATGAACAACTTGTAGATGATATTCCAGTTGAGAAGCTGTTAATTCATGATGTGCCAGTTGACATCATATGCACACCAACGAAGATCATATGCACCAATACTCCCATCCCAAAGCCTCAAGGTTAGTGGACCATGTACTAACGACTTTCTGTCTAATATGATTATGGTTCTTCCATGGCAATTATACCATAGCAAGTAAATTCGTGAACCAATACAAAGCGTGGAGTGGAGCGGGATGTAGCTTTCCTGAGGGGAAAAAGAGAGAAAACTGCTGAAGTTGGATTGCTTGAACTAATATGTGGAAAACCTTTGTGTTTGTATGGAAAGGAAACAGAAAGTTTGTTGTGATTATATTGCAAAGACACACACAGTTGACAAACATTGGCACAAGTCTTAAGGTAATCTTATTCGTTGCACAGAATGGTTTTTAACAAATTTTTATGGGTGCCTCTAGGGATTTACTGGGACAAACTATCTCCCGAAAAGCTTGGTCAAATCAAAATACTTAGGGAGCTGAAGAGCAGAATCGAGCGAGAAACTGGACAGAAGCTTCCCTGTGGCCCTTCAGAGAAGCTACCGCCAACAGCTCAACGTAGATGCTGATTCATTTGGCCACTGAGTGGTGTATCTATCCATTTCTTCAGAGTAGATCCCCAAAGTGCAGTTAGTTGGTTGCTCATCTTCGAGGTCCATGCAAATTGTATCTATTCGTTTTAAGTTGTGATCAAGCCCTATTTTCTGGCAGAAAAAAAAA